CAACTGGCAAGAAGGGAAGCAGTAAAAGGTAGTGTGAAAAGAATTCCTTCAGAAGGCTCAAGGAGGATCAAAATTTCGAAATGTTTGTACTATAGCTCCATTATTGACAAATTTGCAGCATCTGCTTTTTGATCGTCTGTACAGCAATCCTGTATAGACGATCTTCCAAACCAACAGCACAGATGCTTTATCCTGTAGAGCATCTTCCAGATTATAACGCTGGGAATAAGGGAATCTGAAATATCGCGGTATTTTGTACTGGAGACCATGCCATGAGTGTGTAATGTGGACAGAGAAAATGACCAGTGATGAGAGGAGGTTTTTAGCGAATAAATTGTACGGTGTGCCTTTGGGTCTTATAACGCAGTAGCGGTTTGGTCGTCATTACTACGATGTATTGATATAAAGGGAGATGTAGATGAATGAAGTAGCGAATGCGGTAACGTGAATGAGGTATGAAGGCGTGCTAAGGCTGAAGTGCAAATTTGTCTGACTGTCTGTGCAAATTAAAAGAAACCTTAGTATTAAACCGGTAATTAAGACATGTTTGGCTTCTTAGAGTCCCGATTTTGATACGTACAAGAAAAGGCGAAAAATCGGGGAAAGGACGAGAAATTGAATTTTAAAAAACATCATTTTCAGGTCCAAAGCTAACAAAGCAAGTGCTGCAGCCGTGTCATCTCTGAGCAACGATGAACAGCAACAGCAGCAGCTGCTAATGGCACGGCGCAAGCAGCAACCACTGATGACAGCGGGGCAAACGCATCCTGGGCTACCACCCGGTATGCTACCCGCACAGGATTTCTACATGCCGCAGGGTATGTGTGCTGCTGGTACCATGCCACCACCTTCTGCAATGCAACCACGGCAACAACATCCATTCGCGCCAATGGTCAATAATGTTGCCGCAATGAACGCTGGAACGATGGCGCAATTTGATGCTTTTGATGGTACGCTGTAACAGCTTTGCTCACAGTTATCATAAAAACAAATGTCACGAATGAGGCTCATTTTTTCTTCTCCGTTGAGTTACAAGTTTAATGCACGAGGAAACTTCCCCTTCCTCCTTTTCATTCTTATGATTCCTATTCAACATCCGCACTATCGGTTCTTGTGTGCTTACTGCAGATAGACCAAACACGTGTCTCGAGTTTGTATGATTCTCAGTCAGGCTCACGTTACCCGGATATGGGACGCCTCTGGAACTAGATCAGTCTAGCGAACCAATATAATTCTATGAAAATGTTCGTAATCATGCG